CCTCCACATAATGTATTTACTGACAGGACAGCATTTTGTGCAGCAAAGACAGTTTGGAAATGAAATTAAATACAAAATGCTGATCTTTAAAGGCTTGATTTAGGAAAGCTCTGAAACGTGTGCATGCTCAATTTAGGCATGCCACAAATAGAAAGGCTTTCTTGAAAAAAAACCCTCCTCATTGCAGATTCTTTTGGAAACAATGCCTGTAATCCTGTTTTTTGGGGGGTGTCTACCCAAACAGACAAGTGAGGTTCCCAGTCCCTTAAACTCTCCACAGTGGCAATGTGGATCATTGGGCCTGATGATTTTATGAGGTCTCTTCCAGCCCTAATGTCTATGAAATCTATTAAGTGTTGACTGAAAGGTAATATTGGATTCATAAACTAATATAGAATGAATCTAGTTCTTGGTGTACAGTGTCCACCTCACAGAAACACAGATGGATTTTTTCAGAAATGTATGCCAATGGGAAGAAGTATAACCAGTGAGTAAGGGGTGGAAGAAGGGGAGGGTTGGGAGGGCAGGGCACCAACCCTAGGCTAGTGCTATAAGGGTGTGCCAAAATCCCCTGGGGACTCTTTATCATAGCAGTGGCAGCACAGCCCCACAGCCAGCAGTACATCTGGGGAGTGAGTGGAATGGTGCTCTCCTTCTGAGAAGTTTTCTTTTCACAGCCCTAAGCCCAGTAGCGTATCTGGGGAGGGAGGAAGCAAATGGGTCCCCAGGAGCAGCTCCCAAGAATCGCATGCCATGGGATTGCTGCTGCCAGACTTTCTCATTCTTCACTGTGATTACCCAAACTCTCTGAACAGGGAGACCAGCTGTTATGGGAGAAACAGCAGCAATGGCAGCAGCAGTGGGAGAAGCAGTGGCAGCAGTAGTTGCTCTCCCAGTGCAGAAAGCCCAAGCAAGTAAGGCTTCTGTTCCCCTCAAACCCCACCCCCACTGCCACCTATGGTGGTCAGCATAGCCTGTCACATGCCAGTTGCCAAATGGGGTTGCTATGCATATGCTATGCATATGATGCAAATAGCTATGCATATGATGCTTTTCTGTTATACTAAAGCAGTGATTCTCAAGCAGGATGCTGCAGCACCCTGGGGTACCTTGACATGTTTTCTAGAGCGGTACAGGGTGCCCCTCAACATTAGCACTATTAGGTGTGCAAATACAACTCACAAGATGCACCCAGAGATTTGAAATAGGAATCTACAGTGTTAAAAACATTCTGACCTACTGTGGTCTTTCTAAGTTTTTCACAACAGAAAAATTACTGTATGTCTTTTCTATAGTCAAAAACCTAGTAAAAACTAAGAGCTGGCATTTCCAAGGAATGCCTTGGGACTGAAAAGGTTGAGAGCTTCTGTACTAAATTAACTAGGCAAACAGAGTTTATACTGCCATTGCCAGGATGAATGTATTCTCTGGATGAATGATTTCAGTTTTCAGGAATGTATAGCCAGAATTATCCTAAGCAATAAATCTTTTTCAAGTAATTAAAAGGTACCAGTAGAAATTATCAGGAAGGTCTTGGGCAGGGGTAGCCAACCTGAGGCACATGTACGTCAAGTGGCTTGGACAGCCTTTGTGTGTGGCATGTGACAGACCAAAGATGGCAGATAGGGCAGGAAACAACAAACAGACAACAGATCAGGCAGGGAGTGTCGGCCAGAGTGTAGAAAGCAGAGCAGCAGATTGGGAAGAGGAAAGGGATCAGACTGACACCCCTCCCACCAAATCCACTGCTGGCTTCCTCATGTCTTGGGGTGGGGTCCCACACAGGCTGATTTGTCCTGGGCCCCGCACCCTGATCAGGTCATCTCTGCATAGCTATAAACTCTAGAGCTTATTGCTCCTGGGTGTGCGCAGCTTACACGTGCAGCCAGACTGCAGCACACTGAGCAGGGTTGGAGCAGCCCTGGCTGACAGGGAGCCCAGGGGGGTCAGCCTGCCAGCCCAGGGTTACTCCAATCCAGCTCCATGTGCTGTGGAGGGGCTTACTGGGTCATGGGGCTAGCTGGCGATAGCTCCCGCACTGAAGCACCTTTGTGCCCTAGCCAGCCAGGTCAGCATCTACATGTGTGCTGCTGCACATGAAGAAACACTCTGAAGCAGGATAGTACTTGTTATTAGTTTCCTGTGCACTAACAGGGGTGCACATGTAGACACTGAAATATTTACTGTGGAGCTAAATTATTTTGCTTCACAGTAAATGTCTAATGTAGACACATCCTGGGATAGTGTGGAGTTACTTTGTGGCACATCTGCCAAAAAGATTGGCCCTACTGGTCAAGGGAACTAAACCGCATATGTTCATAATCTCAGCCAGTAGCACTTTAAAATTCTTTCTTGTTCCTCTTTGTTTTATCTTTACTTTCCAAAGCTTTTCTTATCATGTCATCCTCTTTATTATATGAAGAAAGTTATTATTTTACCTTAAATGAACAAAAGTAAAATGGATTAAACAGTACATGAAATTTGCATTGCTGAAATTGTGAAGCAGAATCATTTAAAAACACACCATAAAACAAACTGATATGCTAAAATAGGTACTCAGATAGGAACAATGATTTTTTCTCACTTTGCACATATTGCAATTCATACGAAGGGTCAGACAAAAGATTCAGAAACAATACTGAGATGTATAAAATTGGATCATGAATGCAATTATTGAATATTCTTTTTTAGTATCCTAAATGTATTTCAGATCTACATATCCATTTTGTGGTTTACATATAGAAACCAATGATTTTATCCTTATGTTAATTAAACTAATTCTGTTTTTCAGAACAAAAAGTGCAGTACGATCATACAGATAGGTGACAACGGCAAAAAATTACAAATGCTTGAAAATATGCACAGGATTTGATTTAGCAAAGCAGTTTAGCCTGTGTTTAGAATGCTTTGCTGAATCAGGGTCCTAGGAGTATTATTATAATTAAAAATGAATGCCTACTTGAGATAATTAGCCATGCAACTGGAGTCATAAAATGACGGGACACATCTGAAAATTTGGTACTAGATGGCCTTTTCTTCTCTTTCCTTAATTGTCTAAGTACTTTATATGAAGAATACTCACTTAGATGGTGCACTGGGCTGAGAGCCAGGAATTCTTGAATTCTAAGACCAGCTAGGACAGGATCCTTGTATGGCCTTGGGTAAAACATTTAGCCTGCATGTCTCATCTTGCTTATCTGTCAAATGATGTTAATTATATTTATGGTGCTTACATACTTCACTGGGATCTCTATGAAGATTAATTAGGTCATGTTTGTAAAATGCATGCTATGAAATGATTTATAAGAGCTAAGTATTATTAGTTTTTAAAAGTTTATCTACTATAATCTAGTAATATTTTGTTGCAATGAAGTTAATTTTAGATGATTCACAGAAAAAAAATAGAGGAGAGAGAGTTTCTTTCTCTCTCCCCTTGTTTTCTTCTTACAGCTGCAACTGGATCAGAAATACACTGACAATAATGGATGTTGCTTATCCTCAATATCTGAGATCAATAGACAAATTAGTTTCTTGTGGAATGGAATGTCAACCATGAAAAAGAAAAGGAAATACCACCACAATTGTCAGGATGCTGGCAGAAGACTAAACAGCCAGGGCAGCTAAGAATGTAATGATTCAGTCCATTCTTGTTTAAGTCCCTCAAGTTTGGAACTGAAAATAACCTTTAAACAGGAGGGCATAGCATCAGAAACATCAACTCTCCTCTGCTAAGACTGGGAAATCTGATGATGGGCAAAAACAACTGAAAAGCTTCCCAACCCAAGCCTAGAACATGATGTTCTTCATTCTGCAATGTATGCATATAACATGCTACAGCTCAGACTTGATTCAGAGTAGTCCAAATCTGAACTATAAACACAGTAATCCATTTAATGAATTTCCCAAATCTAATTGCTTGCATCTAACCTTGCTGCCCTTCAACAGAGGACCTTTAGCCTAAAGTTCTGTTACTTTCTTTCCTTTTCTTAGCAAACTTCTGTTTAAAATATCATACAATTCTTAGTGATACAGAGTCCCCCTAGGTGCCTACGTAATGTAAATTATGTGTAATAAACTGCCAGAGGTAAATAAAATAAGCCTTTTCTCTTCCTACTCAACTAGGTTAAAATAATATCATCCTTTTTCCTCTTCAATCTTTCCCCTAAAATCCAAGTTGAACCTGAAGTTCAGCATTTTTCCTAGTGATAGGCCTGAACTAGAACTCTGGACCCAACTTAGGGAAAATCCCAAGTGGAATTGCCAGAATTTAGGGAAAAAAATCAGACTTAAAGGTTTTTACCTGGCTTCTAGATCAAATTTTGCTCCCCAAATTCCTGGGGAAGAAGAAGGAGAAAGAGGAGGAGGTCATGAGACACACTGTTCTAGATTTTTAGCCAAGCTTGTCACAAGGCATTCTACTTGCCAATATAGAAGGTTTTTCTTTAAAAAAGTTAACCCACATTGCCATAAACCAGAAGAACTGTTAATCAAACAGAAACCACCAGGCAGCCATAAAATTATTGCCTAACAAAAATGATGAAAAGTGTTTCCTGTGGAATCACAGAAAATCTGTGGAAGAGTGGAAGAGATTTGGATCACTGGCAGGGTGTGAAGATATTATTCTATGTAGGCATCTGAATGTAAATATTTGTAAGTGAAACTTTTTTTTTGCTTTAATTTTAAATAATGGATGAACATAATAGAGGATTTTTGAAGCCCTGAAATATCTCTACCTTTGCCCCAGAAAACATTTTATCAACATACATTGTCTGTTTAGTGGTCTGAGGGAAAAGCCATTAAAGTAGTGGAGATTTCAGAAATTATATTACAAGAATCATGCCTGTCCTTTAGTATTTTGATCTCCTTTCATGATGATGACAGTTAGGGAAATGACTCTCTAATATTTCAGCAATAAAGGCAGCTATCATACTGTCAGATGATTTCACTGTTATATTGAATATAAGTAAATACCTTAGCCAACTTTGATGATATAAACTCACCTTAAAAATCAAATCCTTTTTCCCATAGCGAAGCTCCTTCAGCTGGGCTTGAATCTTTTTTGACTGAAAGTAAAGGATAATAAATTAGCCATTTAAAGCTGCATTTAAGAATTTGTGAAAGTTCTGACAGTGGAAATGGAATTCAGCTCTTGAAAAAGAAAGATATTTTATAAATATATATAATAAGAGCCTTTTGGAGATGTACATATACAAATCCTTTGACAGGACAGTGTCTAAATTAATTACTGAAATGAAGGAAAAGTTGAATGATAATCTTCACTTAAAATACATACAAAAACTAGCTTCATCCATCTCAGACAGAATTTTTTCTTGGTCTTCTACTTCATTCTGCAGAATCCAACAGCTATCATACTCATTTTAATGAGAAGCACTTAGATCCCACCCCAGGCAGTTTCTTTACTGCCCAAGAGGCATATAATTTCCCACACATTTGAATGGGTGTTTCAATACATGCAAAAACATATCTGTATGATAAGATTTCTACTTTGTCTTGACCACTTAACACACAGATGTCATAACAGGATTTATGAACTAAGTAGAAAGATACCGATATGGATGATGGCAACTACCTAACAGATAACACTGATTTTGTGTAAAGCTCATCCTCCACCATAAATAATTTGTGATTAGAATACTTGCTCAAGATAAGGGATCTGGGTTCTAGCCACCCCCCACCCCCTCTTAATCTGAAGGGGTTTGAACTCACATCTACATCCAAGAGTATCCCTAACCAACAAGTTACAGGACTATGACTCCTCTCCAGCTAAACCTGGTCCACCAGAAAGCCAAAAAGATAGAAGTCACAGGGCCAGCAGGACAGCTAGTGTGAGAGATCCTGCGTCTGTAGAGAAGGTACTATCTTGGTAGGTATGGAGTCCCAAGACTGATTAAACAAAATGGCTGTTTAATACCAAATATACCACTGGTACTGATGGTAACTGGAGTAATGCCAATATTGTACTCTAATAACAGAGGACAAAATCGGGCCTTATGAAATTGGATCAATGCAAGTGAGAGGTAACTGGCTTGACATGCACAAAATCTCTGAGAATTAATATGCCCAATCCATTCCTCTGTATCCTGTGTATTTGTGGTGAGATGTGTGACTTCAAGAGATATTTGAAAGTGAAGAGTGGGCTGGTGTCCGATAAAAAAGCCCTTGTGACTGAAGGATGCTGAATATTGTATTTATGTAATTGGCATTACCATGGTGTGTAAAAAAGCCCCCCAAAAACCTAAATCGGGGTAAAAGTTACTTAATCCAGTGGAAGATTACTCCTGAATGAATCAGGGGTAACATTCTAGCATGTTTTTTAAGGCTATAGAGAGATATAACACTGGAATCTAATGATAGTGGCATAAGCTTTTATGATGTAAATGTTATGTTTGCACACTCCTCTAGTGGTATAAATTTTAACCCTGTTTTATTTAAAGTTAATGATTTAGCTCATTTAAACTTCTACAGGTACATACCTATGTAACAGTTGCATCATAACAGTTAGCGTGTACACCTGAGTGTCACAACCCAAAGGGTGTGATTTTTGTTTTTGTGTGCTTCAGCACTGCTAAATTGTTCCCGCTAAATTATAGCTTCTTTGCACAGTGGAGTTTTCTGCTGCAAAAGAGAACCCCGGTGCAAGGGAGAATTTCCCGCCAATTTTAAGCTTTCTTTGCAGGGTGCATTTCTTTGTTGCAGCACAGAAATGCTCATTGCAAAGAGTTCCCGCCATTTGTATGCTAATTTGAGTCCCATTATTGGCCAGTTCTAAATTATTCACACGTGGCGGCTAGTGATTGGCTTGCTAGCCGTAGAAGAGGCTTGAGTGGTTTCCGCCCAAGTTGGAGGACTCCACGAACAAGGGAGGAGGAGACTTCACGCTGTGTGAAGATCTCTAAGCGCTGCGGATCCTTACAGATCCAGTGCATTTAAAGCAGGCAACGGAGGTCTGATCAACCTCTAGCCTCTCCCCGTCGCCGAGCGCAGTCCAGACGTATCCCTTCCCGCGCGCAAGAGAACCGAACCCACGGAGCCTAACAAACTTCGTGTGAGTGAGTGAACAGAAGAACCCACGGAGCCTAGCAAACTTCGTGTGAGCCCTTACGACTGGCCTCAGAGCTCTTCTATCCGGGTTCGAGTCCTGCAGGTTTATTTTCCCGTCGCCGAAACCCTTTGCAATGTACCCTTGTATTTTGTATCTTCCCGTCGCTGGAACCCTTTGCGACGTACCCTTGTGCCCTGCAGGTTCGAGTTTTGTTTTGTTGTCTGTCTGTAACCGCAACTCAAGCAAGTTTTCCAGCCTGCACCACTGCCATCTCGGTGTAAGTAAACAATCTTTAAAACTACCGCTACGCGTTTGTGCCTAATTCCAGCGCGGTGGCCTCCCTCTCCGACCCGGCGTGCCTGGGCTGCTGGCCACAGCCCGCGTGCAGCATGAAAAAGGGCTCGGGTCGCTCCCGGCCTGCACACTGAGTAGCAATCCTCTCTCTCCTTTTAAAATGACTTAAAGTTACATCTGCTCTTAGACAGTTTCACCCGTTGCCCATATGCATCCAAGGGTAACAATTTAGTAAAGGCAAAGAGGCCCTTCTCCCTGCCTCCTTGCAAACTATTTCACGTTACTCTTGGACGTAAAATAGAGTAAGTCTGTATCTGACTCCAGTGTAATTTACATTGGTATGCAAAACCAATATAAATTACACCAGGTTATGTGACTCTCTATCTCCAGAGCCATAATTCATGGATATAAAGTAGCATTCTGCTCTCTACTATGCTGGTAACAAGACAACATAGGTAGCTTATGCCCCTCCATTTCACAGTGAGGTCAACACAGCAGGATGCCAACAAGCACTCAGGAGAGCAAAAGAGAGGAGAATATACACAAACACTATTCCTTAGACTAAAGAGAATTTAATCAGCAAGGTGAGGGGATACTACCAAAGCAGTGCTAGCATGCTGGTTGAATCCTGCCTATTACTTCTAATCAAAACAGTGCAAATACACTCTGCAATGTATTGCCTTCTCTTACATTGCTGATTCCTTGGTAGGCAGAAAGGACTCTGTGGGAAACTTTTTTCATCCTAGCTGGAGTGGTCAGTGTAGCACAACATTCATAAAGGCTACTCATGAAATTTAATGTTGTGGAATTTAAAAAGTAAAACACGTTCACAATCTACCACTACACTTGTTTAGTTAACCCAGAAGTTAATTCACTGGGATTCCCTGACATACCACACCACACAATACTATTCTACACCATGCAGTCTAACAATTCCACTGATGTTTCATATTGTTCTACATGTCAATGGGTGTTTTTTAATGCTTTAATGTAGCTAGCTAGGTTGGCCACAATGGGCTTAATAAATTAGTAGTTTATTTGGAATTCATAAACAAACCCTACATTTTTATTTAGTTTTTAGAGAAATAAAATCCCTCATTGTTTAAGGGAACAGAATTAGTAAAGACATCAGGAGCTGACCCCACAGGGGTCAGTTGGCATTTCACAGAATTAAAATATGCCCCCCCTCCCCCTTCCCACATTAATGTTGTTTCAGGTTGTGTATCAATCTGAAAATAATGTGAGAATATGCAGAGAATGAATCTCCTCTAATATGCTGCTTTAGCCTAAGAAATAAACACAACTATCTGCATTGCTTTTATGGCTGTAATCGTTGCTAAGGTAACTCATCATCCAATACAGGAAGTTATGGCTGGGTTTCAGACTACACTCTCTCTCTCCTCCCTCCCAGCATGTCTTGCTATGCCTCAAATGCACCTTCCTTCATCACAGTGGCATAAAGCAGGGGTGACCAAGATCTGGCTCATGGAGCTGCATTTTCTGGCCTCCAGGGATCTCCATGGGTCCAGAAATTTAGAAGTGTGGTGAGTGGTGACAGTGTTAATTGCTGTGGCTGCAGGAGCACTGCCACCAGTCATCCTGCTGCCAAATTTCTGGACCTTTGGTGAGCCCCCTGGGTTGGATGCAGACCACTGAGCCATGTTACCTGGCTCACAGGGCCAGATAATTGGTGGCAGGAGAAGCAGCAACTGCCGCAGCTCCAGAAGCCACAACAATTAATGCTACCACCAAATTCCAGCTGCATGGACCATATGTTCCATGCTCTGTACCTGGCTTGCAGACTAGCTCCACACTCTGGGTTTGGCCCACACACTGGCCGTGTATACTCATCCTGTCTGTGGGACTGGATGAGTTGGGCACCATCGACACAGAGAAACTTAGCACCTGGCATGTAGGAAGAGACACATGTAGCCCAGGTAGTACTCAATGATGTACTTCTCTTTCCAGTTGAAGGGAATGTTAGCAGGACAGGTGCACTGTGGGGTGAAACTGCCTACTACATGCAGTTTCCTCTTTCCCCTACAGTAAAGCCAGGACATGTCTTGAGACTTATCTATATACACATGTATTAATATATAAGAAGAGTTAAAAATTGAACATTTATATAAAAAAAATGGGAACTACGTGCAATAAATATATAACCTACACAAATACTCTGGATGCAGGTGAGTGATCTGGGAAGCAAAGTTCTCAGTAAACGTCATGCAATCTTATACTCTAATGAAATATGAATCTACAAAGCATGAGGTGCGTGTTCACAAAATCTGAGGCACAGGGTTATAAAATATGATGCACAGGGCCCAAGGGGAAATAAATAAACAATAGCAATGCTCCATGAGAAGGAGTGGCCCTAGATGAGAGGAGGGGAGTGGGGGGCCCCAGATACCCCAGCTGCCCCTTTAACCAACCTAAATATCCCAACTGCTCATCACGGGGGAGAAAGACCCTCCTCCCCTGTGGGAATCCCCTTCCCAGGCAACTCATAACTCCTCCAAGGGCCCAGTAAGGCTGTCCTTGTCTTCCAGAGTGAGACGTCTCTCCCCTCAGCAGAGAGGCCTCAGCTGCTTTGCGGCTCTTCCAGCCTCCGGCCTGCTGGGGGCCCTGTGTACCACTCCATGTACCACTCCATGTACCTTGTGCCTGGGGTTGGAAACCTGAGCTGCCTGGTGCAGTGCTGGGGTCTCAGTCTGTTCGTGGGCCCTCTGTGTACCAGCTGTGCACTGTGAGCCCAGCCTTGTGCCAGGGTTGGGGAGCCAAGTCATCTTTTGCAGTGCAAGGGTCTTGGTCTGCTTCCAGACCCTCCATGCCCCAGCTGTGCACCACATGTCCAGCCTCATGCTGAGGGAGGGGACCTGAGCCACATTGTGCAGCACTGGGGTCTCAGTCCACTCTTGGACCCCCCATGCACCGGCTGTGCACAGCTCACCCTGCTTCTTACAGGGGGTTAGAGACCTGGGCCATCTAGTGTAGCTCCCAGGGTCCCAGGCCCTCCCAGACCCTCCATGCAGCACCTGTGCACCAACACTGTGCCCCCTCATGGCGCAGCTGGTGAATGCAGCCCCCTGTCACTCCTGTCTGACGATCCGTCTTCAGGGTCTTCTGGGGTTACTTCTCTGCCCCCCACTGGCCAGCTCAGCCAACTCTTCTCCCACCCTTTTCTTTGTCCCTCAACACAGCTGCCCATGTGCTGGGCGCACTGCCTTTTTATTCCCTTCAGGAGCTCTGCCCCTGGATTGGAAACAGACCAATCAGAGAGAGGGAGGTGGTGGTCCCCTCTCAGGTCCAGCTCTTTGCTTCACCCCAGAGTAGGGGTGGGGCAAACTTCTCCCCTGCCTTCACCTGATTACTGGGGGAAGGGGAAATACCCCACCAATCATTTCAAACTTTTCCAAAGCCAGTGCACCGGGCTACCATCGGCAAGTCTGCCACACACAAAATCCCCATGGCAGTTTTCCCTCTTGGCAATACTACTCCTTTGTGAAATACAACCAAAGAAATTATCCTGCACATCAGATTCTTCAGTTTTTCTAGGAACAGAAGGGCATTTCTTGATCCATAATGAACTACACTGATTTAGATTTCTTAAATTCCATACGTATAACTCCCATATGAGTCCTCTGCTGTGGGTTTTGAGGAGGACTACATGGGAACTTCCTGAGAAAGTAAAGCAATTGCCTAGTTACCTCAGGTGCCTGTACACAAATGCACAGAGCTTGGAAAACAAGCAGGAAGAATTGGAAGTCCCAGAACTATGACATGATTGGATTAACAGAGACTTGGTGGGATAGCAAGCATGACTGGTGCACTGTCATGGATAGGCATAAACTGTTCAGGAAAGACAGATAGGGGAGAGTAGGAGGAGCTGTATGATTGTTCAGAGCTCCAGTGCAATCATGCACTGTAATACAGATTCATTGAAGATTTACCTCTGCTTTGTGCTTCTGCAACTCTATTCTACTTCAACTTGACTTCACTTAAGTGATTCCTGAACTTCAGGGGTTGGGATTTGATTGTTATTTGACAGTGGCAGGAATCCCAGGTTAATCCACAGAAGCATCCTATTGACTAAAGGGAGCTAATTGAATCCATGCATAAATTTACTCAGTTGAGAGGCACACACTAGTAGCCAATGTGATAGCTCAGATGAGTAGTTATTCAAATGTTCAACTGTTTGCAGAAGCAAGGCCTTTGTATTGTTTGCATATAGCTGTAAGCTCTTTAACAGAAGTAATAGTATACTCTAATTTTTAAAGTGCTGTACATGCTTTAAAGTAATATCATGTTTGAATCTTAATATTATTTCATTCTTTATTCAATTTTTAAACTTACTTAAGAAATGGAGTTATTTTTTTGGTATCAGGGACAAATGGCAAAATCAGCGGTTTAGATTTACCTGTAGATTCTCTGTACAATTTCTCTTAATGATTTCACACCTAAACTTATTGTTGTACTTTGTCCAAAACTAAAGGCTCCATTTTATTTTCTGGTCCATTCTAGTATGCTCATGTAACTACATGAAAGGAGATGAGAGGAGCATGTGCTGTATGAACTGCAGCTCCAGATAGACTCGACTAGTATATTAGCTATTCTAGAATCCCTGTGTGACATTCTTTATGGTGGACATCAGTATTTTTTCTTGTTCCCTCTCTGGATGCTTTAAAATAAGAACAGTAACAAAATGTACTTACCTCTTCTGCATGAATACCACAAAGCTTGTTTCCTGACAGAAGTTTGTTTTTCAGGCTTTTGTTCTGAGAAAAGAACACAGTTTTAGAAAAGAACACCGAGGAATGCTAAAATATTAAGGAATCTTTTAAATATTTTAACATGCTGGTTTTATTTCATACATAGATAGAGTCCTGAGAATTTTATTGAGGACGCAAACAGCCATGAAGCAAGATAAATGTATGATGGTATAGTATCATTTTCTGTTCTACTTCTGAAGGCCTATCAATTTTGGATTAATACATTTATTCACAGAAGGAGGACTGTCCACAATAACATTTCAAAACACTGTACCACTTAAGTTGAAGGACATTTATTTAGACTGGACAAGATAAGAAAAAGGCAAAAGGAGATATTCCCAAGAAGAGCCTTGTAACTTAGCATAACTCAGCAACGAATGTAAAGGAGCTATGCCAACAGTTAAGGATTTTGTCCAGCATCTCACCATTTTAACCCTAAAGACTGGATTCAAAGATTCTTTTAGTACTTAAAATTTCTTAATGTAAACTGGCAGAAAATATGAAATATTACAGACTGAATTCCTTTGTTTCACATCCCACATTCAATATGTTTTTCTATCAAAGCAGTTTTAAATTTCACTTTTAATTTAGAGCACTGAAAACCAATTATATCCTTGATAAAACAAAGTTTCATTGATGTGATAATACTGCCCTCTATTTTTTTCTGTATTCTTTCTTTTTACATATACTGTCCTTGAGTCAATAGTCAACTTATTGACTTATAGAATTTATCCACTGCATATATAACTACCTAGTCTTGGAAATTATTTATCATCATTATTATTGTTGTTGTTCTTATTTTTTCTAATTGCTTTTTCCCTCTTGAATTACGAATATCATGAACTATTTCCTGAGCTGGTGGTGCAAATCATTATAATTTTGCTGACTTAAAATCACAGGATACTGATCTGTACCAGCTGAGGATATGATCAAATAATTTAAGCTCATTTTGATTCAACACACATAACACACCATTTCTCAAACCCTTTACAATAAAGGTGTACCAAGTTCTTTATCACTGTTTTGATTTCAATTTCCTGTCTTTCTTATTATATTGTAGTCTATTGTAATCCATATTTTATTATGTGTGGGACATTAAGGAGCTGCATGAAAAAGCTAGAATAGTTACTAATGGATCTTGTGATTCAAAAAAAAAAATTAAATACGAAGCTACTCTAATATTAAACTTGTATAATTTATACTAAGGAAATGAATTTTTCATGCACTGACATCTTTAGAAAATTGACAAACTGTTCAGATGTTGTCAATCTGAAGGAGTTCAGTTTCAAACAGTACATAGAAGGGAAAAGGAAGAGGGCAGAAATTGCTTGGTAAATGTTACAACTTTCTGAATATTCTCACAGTCATAGAACAGTTGGTTCTTTACAAACCTATCTTGGCCGGTTTATCACCCAGAGGCATCACAGGGCAGCTCCAAGTCCTGGATAGTGGCTATGCATGGGGCCACATCAGCTGCCTCACTGTTTGTGGCATTGGTTTAGCCAGCCATGAGCTGTGGTAAAAGTAGGTTTTGCATGCCCCAGCCCCAGAGTTAGCACTGCCCTAGTCATCCGCCTGAGTTATGCTATTGTTCTCACCTCAGTGTCCTTTAGATGTCTATATCTAAAGCATCCTTTAGATCAGGGGAGGACAAAATACAGCCTGGGGGTTGGATCTGGCCTGCCAGACCATTCTATCTGGCCCATGGGGCCCCTAAAACATTTAGAAAACTAATATTTATCTGCTCCTGGCTGCCTGTCAAAGATGTGTGTGTGTGTGTGTGTGCGCGCGTGCGCGTGTGTGCATGTGTAGGGAGGGAGGGAGGGACAGAGAGAGAGAGAGTGTGTGTGTGTGTGTGTGTGTTCATAGAGTGCATCTCACATGCACACCTCACCATACACATGCACCCACCCCTCTCTACACACTGCCATACACAAAGACCCCCACACCCACACCCCTCACACACCCCAGCCACCCTCCCCCCCACACTCCCCCTACAAACCTCATACCCACCCACACCCCACATATCCACATACACACCCACATACTCCCTCACCTCACACCCACATCACCTATCCACCTCCCACAGACACCCAGAGCCTCCCCCACACACCCACTGCCCCCACAAACCTATACCCACCCTCCATGCCCCCACCCCCACAACAATATAAAAGAGTAAGACTTCATTTTAAGCTATTGTGAAATCATCTTTATGTATACTATACAAATGCATGTAAATCAGGACAAAAATATTTTTTGAAATCAAATTAATGAATGCTGTAGATATTTGCTTTTTAGAATATAATTTGGTATTTTTCTGGTTCCAAGATGGCAAAAACCCTTGCTGAAAGGAGTACTTCCAGAGGCAAGGGGAGGGACTTCTGGTGGCAAAGGTCAGAGGTTAGGGGGCAGGACTTCCAGTCACAAGATGGCAACTGAGAAGGGGAGGGGAGGGCTCCTCTCAAAGGGCAGGGCTACCCATGTGGCCCTCGACAGCTTGCCAAAACTCCGTAAGTGACCCTCCACCCAAAATAATTGCCTGCCCCTGCTTGAGATGATTGTTTAAGAAATGTGTTTCATTATCTTTTTAGGAATTAAAGTTAGGCTGACTGTTCTATAACTCATGAGCACAGAGGGGTAGTTAGGTGTTAGTGTTAGTCTGAAGTCAAGCAGAAGGCAGGGTAGGCATGTACCTTATAGACTAACTAAATAAAATATACAAAGAACATAAGTTCACTTCATCAAATGCAGTGAAAGGATATGGATCGAGGAGTGTATAAAGTAGAGTGAATGATTTGAATGCAAAAGGTGGGAAGGGAAGAGGGAGAAGTTGGGAAAGGGAGACAGTGCTGGGAGTAGCAAAAAATGGATTCTTTGCTTGCTTGCTGGAGACGGCTGTATACTACACCTGACAATGACCCCAGCACCAGTTACCTCAGCTCTCATGTCTGCAAGTGAGGACATGCAACCCCTATGCCTGGACCCCAAACCCTCCCCACTGTGTGCCCAGCACTGGCCAGCCAGGGAGTTCCTGACCCTCGTATACCAGGGTGAGCTCAGTTTCTGGCCACTGGCAGCAGGCAAAGGGAGATATGACGATCCAAGCCAGGTAAAGGGTACCACTCCTGCCACTGAATCTGCACCTCCTTCTGGATCTGCTGAGTGAGCCACTGGCACTCTTCAACTGGCTCTAGTGTGGTGACACAGCTGAGACTAACAATCATATTAGTCCTAGCACCAACACAGCACCAGAGCCGGTTTAAGACTCCAGTAGAACGTTGGGACTGGGACCAACAATCAGTTGATTATGAGTCCCAGCCCCGGTCCCTGGCCCCCTCACTTCCCCAGAGTCTTGAACTTGTATTGTTTCTGTGGAGCAGTCCAATGATAGCTAAATGTGTATTAATTGATGTGATCTGGACATGGAAGGATATAGGATTTGAAAAGGGAGAGTGGGGGATACAAAGGGTGTGGTACATCATCACATATAAAACAACATGTATTTTTCTCCAGATAAAAATAAACTAGAAGCATTACTAATACATTAGGGGCCTATGGCTATATTATTCAGTTTAAGATTGAAGAAAAAAATATAACTGCATTGAAATGAGTTAAAATAAGGCTGTGAAATAGGAATGCTACCAGGAGAAGCTAACAGACAGGAGAGCTGCAGAACAAAAGACAGCTTGATCAGTGCAACATCAAGACCATTAAAAAGAAGAGAGGGTTTTTAACACCCGTGGAATGAAGAGTTTAGAATACATCTAATACATTAGAATAAACCATTAAGTAAATTGACTCCCTCAGCACTGCCTGACTAGAAATGTGGTTACCACTGCCAGGTAGTTGGTTTAAACCTTGAGTGGAGCAAGAATCAGAGAGAGGTGCAAGTGCACCACTGAACCTTCCCCCCCAAATCTGGAGACAATCATCTCGTGAAAAGTCATAAGTATGTTTAAGTTAAAACATAGGAATGAAATATTATAGGAATTATAGGAATTAAATATTTTTTTTTAAAACACACAAGAACAAAATCTTAAAATGGTGAGAGCTACATCTATCACAAAGAAGAATGTCCAGAAGTTTAGAAGGTAAATAATGATGTTAGGATTCCTTACAATACCTGTTTTTGACTGTCAGGTGAGCAGAGCCATTCTGAGGACTCACTTGGGAAAACAAGATGTGGCTTTACTACCTTCAATCCTGTGTGTAAATAGGTCAGGTTCTCTAATGGTAGAACTAAGGGTCAGGTCACACAGGAAAAACCTTAGAAGCACAATGAAGCTCAGGCTTGTGGCTTAAGATAAGGAAGGTAAACTCCTATGGGCAGGAAAGTACAAACCCTGAGTCAAATTCTCTATACATGCACTTCAACCTAATCCCACTGAAGCATTTCAGCAGTTTTTATAAACTGCTGGATTATTCTTTCTGTTATGAATCTGTGCATGCATGTTTCAAAGATAATACTCAGATTTTTCTAGTTACATATTATAATGGAAAGGGTAGGTTTCTTGAGGATGGTAGTGGGGGCTGGGTATTTTGCTCCACTGAAGAATGAAGCCAGAGACACTGGAAAATTCCAGCTGCAGCTGGTCCCTTTCATTTTCACTTGGTATCTTGCTGAATCTAGAAATGTATGTCAAAGGGATGAGAAAAGACTAAGACAGTGAGCCTATTCTCCTTGTGCTAATGAACCATAAACATGAAACTTAATCCACCACATTTGATTCATTTAGCACAATGTGGCAATGCAAATTTATTACTGAAAAGCAACAGAATTCTCAAAAATTATGCCTCGGAAATATGCTGACATTTGAGAAAGAATATTAATTGGATTCAGTACGTCAATTTAGATTTTGGTCCATGTTCCACTGGAAACCATGGAAGCTTATTTGCGAATTAGACACTTGTCGTTTTTACTTGAACAAACATACTTATTAAAGCCACTGCAAGGAAATTCCTACTCTATTAAACTCTCTTATGTCCCCCTTTGCACAATTCCTGGG